CCCAGCGCGAACGGACCGGAAAAGATGTTGGCCGAGTCCCAGTGCCGCATGCCGAGGCCGGCCATTCCCATGACGCTGCTCTCGAGGCGGGTGGGTATCCCGGCCCGGCACCGGCACGAGACGCAGAGACAAGGCGGCCGTCCGGTCTGGCGGCGCTGCGCCGGGCCTGATGGTACCAGCCCGGCGGGCAGCACTCGCGTCCGCAGCGGCGGGGCGTAGAGCCGAGATAGGCTGTGGCAGGGAGCTAGAATCGGTTTTTGAATCTAGGGTGGGAGTAAAAATTTCATCGCAAAAATGCCGAGCGGGGAGTGAAAAAAATATATTCACAAAAGATGGAACTTGTGAGCTCGTGACTGATGCTTCAGCAAACAAAGACATCTATTTCAAGTTGGCATGGGCGTAATATCAGAAACCTGACAAAACTGTTTTGTTTTTAACATCTTAGGGCCATTTAAGTGAAACAGAATACATTAAAGCATAGTAATTTCACGACAGTGTAATGAGCAAACAAATTATGAACACCAAACAATTTGCCGCTGCACTTTGCACTTCTCTTCTACAGCATTCTTTACACAAAACAAAGCAAAGGAATTCAATAACAAAAAAACAACAGAAATTTCAACAAGCACAAAACGCTAAAAAAACCTTGGACTCCTACACATCAGTCCATCACCAAGTCAAACACAATAGACATACCTTTGGCTTCTGTTAAGATGGGGTGATGGAAAAAAACATTTGTCATTGTTTCTTACAAAATACCAATGCTTATTTCCATGAAAGTAGCCTAACCATGTCTAACCTAAAGAGGCCTTACTTCGCATCATCCTGCCTAACCTGTTTGTATCACAGCAGCAGTTGTGAGTTACTGATTCTTGCACAATTCCTATTGCCACTTGTCATGCATTTAACCAACTTAACCTAACTGAGAGTAGCCCATATGTTGAACATCATCTCAACTCAGCTATCTGATGACAGCAGCACTTGTGATAAAACATGATAAAGCTAATTTTTGACTGGTTTCAACTTGCATTTCTTTTTTTTTTTTGTTCATTTGTGTATGCTTGTTGACATCAGACAAAGTTGACAACATACAAACCAAAACACTTTAAATCACTTTGAACAATTTATTTTGATTGTCATGGTTAACCTATGACAAGGGCAATAATGAGTATGCCCCACAAAACAATCTCCCTTCTCCAAAAGTGACATAACTTTTATATGACCATGCCAGTATTGCTGCTTGCCTTTTCAGATGCAGCAAAGGCATCTATTTAGTCTTGTTTATTCATATTCAATGACAAATTTTGAGATGTTGGCTTCACGTTTTGAATGGGATGGCCTGACTATTTATTACATACTAATGCTTAACTCAGATTATAATTGCTATGCAGCTTAGAGTATCATTGTGTTAAAAATATAGTGCATATATACAGTACAATCATTCGCCAGTCAGCAAACAATGACAACCCTAGAAAACATCTGGTTGAAACAGCCACGATGGACCACTTCAAGAAATTTTGGGCAAATAATCAATAATGTGGAACAAAATAAGCCCACCTGCATGCCTTGTGGCACCATTATTTGTCTTATGACAAAACTCGATGGATTAAAACAGAAAATGGTTAACTCTGGTTACCAATCATGTCTTGAATGCAGGTAAGGTAAGCAATTACTAGGTCCACAGGAGACTTACTGGCTTTTCCTGCTCCCCAAAACAAAAAGCTAATACCTTTTGCATGGTCCGCTGGCAGACAGCGTCGTCCCACTCACCCCCCCCCCCCCCGCCCCCAACATAAATATCAATCATGCCCACCAACCTACGAAATTGAAAATGCGAAACAAGTAAGAGGTGTGCATGATAAACATCCCCAGGGGCAAAGTTTCGCCATCAAACACTTCCGTATTTACTGCGTCAGGTCTGTCCCAAAGCTCTATATGACAGCATTAGGATAGCGTTCTCAGGTAGCCTGGTGAGTTAGACACCCGAAAGGCTTAGATTTATCATTATTGAGCACCGCCATGAACCAAGAAAACGGTTAACCGAGGGTTTAAGAGGATAAAAAATGGCGGTAAAAAGAAGTTCCGTGCTTCAGATTGTCTCCCCTATTCCCTGTGAATTGGTCACTGTTGGGTGCATATCAAACATGTTTTGGGCGGCTGGCGAATTAATCCACTTTATGTATCAAATACGCACAGGTTTACAGTTGGAGCATATTGCAGAGAAATTGGTCAACATTTTAAGCCACAGATGGCACCTCAAAAGACAATCGGAAAGGAAGGAAGAATGAAGTGGTATCACACTGGTATGATACCAAGAAAAACAAAAGTAGTTAAATAAATATAAAGACTGATACTGTTCTAGCAAAATTTTGCAATCAGCTGATTTGACTTAAAATCTGTTGAGATGAGTGCTCAAATGGTGATATTCATCTTGTAAACTTAATCTAGAAGACATTTTTGAATTTTTTCCCTCCTGCATTTCGGGAGCGATGCAGTTTAGTAGTCAAGTTTCCTCGGGAAAAAAGAAATACGTGGAGTAAAATTATCTACCAAGCCTTGCTGGTGTTTGTCCCAGGCTCCGCTGGTGGCGTGGTGGTGAGACCAAAAAAATAAGGGATGCGTGAAAACCTTGCATTTGGCACACAGCTGCCGATTGTGATGGATTTTGTAAACAAACCAAACTTAATGCGTGCAAGCAGCTGCAGTCTTTTGGGTTATTGGGCTTGGAGGTGCCTGGTGTCCTTGCTCTCTGCATACATAGACATGATTCAGATGTGGGTGAGGCAGGACATAGCCATAGGTGTCCAGGTTCACATAAAATATGGGCAAAAGGAGTGAGAAATTCTTCCTCATAGGGCGTTGCTTTACACCCAAAGTCGGCATTTCTAGGACACTGGGCTGTGGTCGTTGTCCTGGGACGGGAAACTAGAGTTGATCCAATCGGCTCTGTGCGTCCGCCGCCCAGAGGCGCGCGGCGGTCGTCGCTTACCCGGGCCGGCTGGCCGTCGACACCCCACATCCCCGCAGCGGTCGCTCCTGCTGCCGCGGTGGCACTAGTGATACAAATGCCACCGAAAGGTTTGGGCCTGCGCGCCGGGGTGCCACTAGTGTAGCAGTTACGTCGCCTGCGTTAACCACTGCACGTCTGAGAAACCATGAGAAACCATGAGAAACCACCAGATGTGATGTTTGATTTCCCGCGGTGCCCGTCCTTCCCACCAGGGTGAGAGGTTGGCGTTGCTATATAGCCCCAGCAGCTGAGCGCGTCCTAAAGCCCCAATGACACGCCCGTAATCCCGCGGAGCAAGGGAAGCGATGGCTCGGGTCGCAGTTTCAGCAAAACTGGACGGCGTTGACCACTGCAAGTGACGCTAGGAGGCGGGTGCTGAACGCGCAGCAATGATCACCGTAAAATAATGTTTCTGGATGTCTGGAAGCTAATGCGTGCAGTTCAAAGACGACACTGGGCGAATCTTTTTTACAGCCTTGAGGTTGTCCCTTAGACAGTTTAACAACTTCAGCAACGCGGAAAATGGAGATGTCATCTTACTCGTCCAGTTCCACCACCAGAATCCAGCACCACTTCACGATGCTGTAAAGACCAATTACGTCATTGCCATCAGTCGAAAACCCGCACGGGTGAAAAACGCCCGGAATATCTCTAAATGTACGAGTTGGGGCCCAAAGCGCTCAAAGGTACTTCCTTTCAGATGCGTCACCATTTTCGTCCACCTGTTGGCCACGGCCTGATGTAGGCCGCGGGACAGACGTTGCGCGGCCTCGGCGGACGGCAACGCCTGGCGTCGAGTTTTGTTGTTTTTTGTTACTTAGATATGCGAGCGTGCATACTGAAGACTACGTTACATAATTTGTGCCACTTATCAATGCTGACTGAACGCGGAACAGGCCCAGACAAACATGGTTTGGTCATGCTGATCCAAATTATTGACTCATTTTTATCTTCAGTCTGTATTTCCGGAACCCTTGCTATCTCTGTGCAACCCAGATAAAAATTCCGACGAAATTTCTGGGTTCTCTCCGTTTGAAAGAGTCACTTTGCCATTGTAAAATGAAGGACGCGGACGCTTTTTTTCATGCAGTTATTTCACGCATGAATTTGTCAGTTTATTTATTGTAAACTTGGGGCAAAACGAATCACACGGTTGCAGCTGGCCTATATTCCTGTTAAAGAAGAAAGCATTTGGTAATGCATACATATATATCCATACATGTATGTATGTATTTATTCATATACGTATATATACATACATACATATATATATATATATATATATATATATATATATATATATGTGTGTGTGGGTGCGTGTGTGTGTGTGTGTGTGTGTGTGTGTGTGTGTGTGTGTGTGTGTGTGTGTGTGTGTGTGTGTGTGTGTGTGTGTGTGTGTGTGTGTGTGTGTGTGTGTGTGTGTGTGTGTTGTGTATGTAGATGTATATGAGTTAACCTCGTCCTCAATAAAAAATGGGCCATATCCGGCGATTGTTTCAACGGGGGGTCTTTTACTATCAGAGGGCCCTTCGTCAGCTCTGTGCCCCCTTGGCAAAGCTTTGGCTGTGCCCTTGCTGTCGGACATAAAATTCACGCACTCAAAAACGTGCCCACTTGTCAGTATCGGTAAAAATGTTATGCATGCACATTTGCATTCGTATTATGGAACTCGTCGGTAACTACCCACACCGACAAGTGGACATGATTTTTTGAGCGCGCAAATTGAATGTTTGACAGTGATGTTGTCTATACTCACCCGGGAGAAAGCCCAGGGCCGAAATTTTTTAGACATAATTGGCATCATGACGTTGTGGTGTGTCAATACCCTGCTATGCCCGTTTGATTTGGAGTCTCGAACCAGCACTCCGTCATATGAAATCAGACTATTTCATGCGTCGCATTATTCACGACGAAACCGTTCAGGCCATGTAATAATGAACGACAGTAAACCACACAAACCATCCCCTTACACTGCTCAGGACACAGGATGCTAATTTGACAAGTTGATCTGGCACATGAAGCAGATTTTCGCGTCACAGGATCTATCATTCCATTTCAAGGTGAGGGTGCTTCGCCCGTAGATCTCCACACAGTTCTCGGCACCGCCACTGTTGTTGGGTTCCGAGGGGCTCCAGTTCGTGTGGTCCAGTTCCGTGCCGTCGCTCCAGCCCCAGCCATTTTCGGCCGTTCGACTCAGACCTATCCAAATATAGCCACAGTCACTGGCGGCCACCACCGCGGTCACGTGTTGCTTGTTCCGCTCGTGCACGGACACCAGCCGGGCCGAGGGGTCCATGAGAGAGCAGGCGCGGTGGGCCCGGTACCAGGTGGTTGTCTCGGGAGGGATCAGGTAGCATCTGTCGCCTCTGTGACTCCAGCCGTTTGGACAGCGCTGTGTGGTAGCGCCCAGCGCAGTCAGCCGCTCCTGGATAACCCGCTGGCCGCTGCTGAGCGCCGCGATGCTCGACAACAGGGCGTTGTGATTGTTTCGGAGCTCGGAGAGGTCGGCCCGCAAAATCTCGATCGCCTGTCCCTGAGACGTCCTCATTGCGCTGTGGTCCGCCTGAAGCTGCTGTACGACCTGCCGTAGCTCCAGGACCGCCTCCTGGCCCGTCTGCAGAGTGCCGAGCTGCTGGTGGCAGTGAGACAGCTCCCGCTGTCCGTCCAACACATGCCGCATATCTGCCGTGATGTTTGTGGCGAGCTCCGACCCGCGGAGCACGTCCGCGCCGAGGTCGTTGATCCTGGCGTTGAGCTGCTCTAGATGCGGTGCGATCACCGCGCCAACCCCCGTCTCCACGACCCGCTGGAGTCCGTCCAGCGCCGCGTCCCAGTCTGGTCGCATCGTGTCCGACGGCAGGCTTTCGACGCGTTCTTCCGGTGTTTCAACACCTCCATCAAAAGAAGAGACCGACATGCCCTCCCGGTTTCCGCTCGGCTCTCCATCGCCGTTGACATCAGAGACGCGTTCCAGCTCCACGGCTTCGTGCGGTTCCAGACCATCTCCACTGCTAGACATGTCCTCCCGACCCCCGCTCGACTCTTCGTCGCCGCTAACATCAGAGATGTGTCCCAGCTCCACGGCTTCGTGCGGTTCCAGGCCATCTCCACTGCCAAACATGTCCTCCCGACCCCCGCTCGACTCTTCGTCGCCGCTGACATCAGAGACGCGTTCCAACTCCACAGTTTCGTGCGGTTTCCAGGCCATCTCCACTGCCAGAGGCCCTCTCATCTCCCGTGTCCCCTGCTGTACTCCATGGCAAGCTCTAAGCCCTGCTGCTGCGGCAGACTCACCCGACCGCCGCCGGAGCCGGCCGCGGTGGCCAGTGAGACCGCCAGCGCCGCGGCAAACACACAGCTCGCCAGCTGCAGTGGCGTCTTCATGGCGCCCTCAGCCACGACTGGTAGCCCGGGTTGCCGCGCGCCGCCGCGGGACGCGATGTCCGGCTCCCCGGCTGGTGATAGCCGCCCCCGCCACCTCAGCGACCGCGGCTATCGGCGGAGCAGAGCAACAACAGGCACTGGTTTGCTCGGCCCTTCCGCTGCCGGAAGGGCGCGCTGCACAGGCGGATGTTGAATGTCTGCGGTCGTTGCCCGAGTACATGAAGCACGGTAGTGTGGTTTGGACGTGTTGACGCGGGTACCTATAGGATATTTTGCGAGTGCAGTGAGCAGGATGCAGTTTCGCAAAATCAGTCGAGAGTCTCAACTCCGTGCTATCATCCTAGGTTATCCCAAAAATGCGTATTTTTGCCGGGAATGGTTTTTTATTTTGCCGTTTTTTCCAACGTTGAAGCATGTATTTCCATTCGTCGCTTGGCTTTTCAGTTTCTTTTCTTGGTATGATGGACCTCGGGGAGATGGAAGACGGAAATAGGAAAGTAATCTATGCGTATAATATCGGATTTTCCACGTTATTTTCCGTACCGTTTGCGCTTGCGCTTCTCGTAGGCTGTCATGATCGCACTTCCTCAGGTTTGGAGGGCTGCCTCCGCAGGACAGCTCAAATGCAAGTTGGTGGTGGGGACATATGTTGGAGATTGCTCAGCTGCAAATTGAGGCAGCTCGGACCAGTTCCCAAAGCAATGCAATGTTGCGTTCCCGACAAAAAATTTTGACGATGGGTCACACCAAGACTACGCCACGTCATGTACGCAAGAACAGGTGGCCGAGTGGGCCGCGCTCACACCTGCATTTCCTAAAAAATAATATCAGCCTTATGGATGCCCGGACCCAAAGCATTGGAGGGCGGTGAAACTAAGTTCTTCGTGCTATATTTTTCTCAAATTACATAAAAACCAAAAGGCCTTTGCAAACGGGTTCCTCTGCATCAACTATGAATAGAACATGATTAACGGCTAACTTGACTTGCCTGGCTAACAGCCTGGCAAAGTTACATAGAGTCCCGGTCACCGTGATCGCCGGCTGGCCACGTTGACGGTCGAGTGCTCCCAGTGCAGCAGGGCAGGCACCGGATGGAGATAGGCGTGCACCGAGCAAGGTCTCTTTGCAAAGTTTTCGTGGAAAAGGGCTTGCCACTGAGTGGGCCCTTCCCTCAGCCCGACTTAAGGCCCCACTGCTCCACGCAAGTACCCACCCAGCGGAAGCTGGTGCCGTAGCCCGCGCGGAAGGACGTGACGGCCCGGACGCATAGCCGGGAACGGTAACCACTTCACGCGTCAGAGGCTTCAGACCTGGGTAGTGGTACGTGGCAAACGTCCTTCTTGGTCAGAGTGAGCTGCGTCAGGAGATCAATATCAACAAGTTCGCAAGCTGCCTTACTTTTAATATTGATTTGACATGGGATCACTTCCGCCTTGTTTGATCCTGGCTCTCAGCAACGACGTTATAGATATGCAGTGGTTCTCACATAAATACACTGACACACACACACACACACACACACACACACACACACACACATATATATATATATATATATATATATATATATATATATATATATATATATATATATATATACATACATATATATATATATATATATATATATATATATATATATATATATATATATATATACATACTTAGTTATATATATTTGAATCACCGAGCCACAGCGGTCCGTCTCATTAGCTCATGTTGGGTTTGACTTGAATGGTGGTTGGTGCGTTAAAATGTGTTTTCAACGGTGCTTCGCTCAGGGACGCATGAAGCTCGCTAAAGCCCAAACAGTAACCATGTCATTTCCAAGAGGGACACAATTCAAGGTGTTGACAGTCCCTTATATATATATATATATATATATATATATATATATATATATATATATATATATATATGTGTGTGTGTGTGTGTGTGTGTGTGTGTGTGTGTGTGTGTGTGTGTGTGTGTGTGTGTGTGTGCGTGCGTATGTGTGTGTGCATACTCATATATTTATAAATCTGCCCCTAAGATGGATAAATAGATATACATAGCTTATTAATTGTGTCTTGATAACTACCACCAAGATAAATTTCCATTGGGCATGACGATGGTATGACATTCAGTACTGGACGATTTTGAGCGTTGTAAAACGTCTTAGATCCTTGGATCCACGTATAAATATAATTTACCTGAGGTGATAGATTATCAGGTGAAACTGAAGTTCCTATGCGCTAGTGCTGAAGTTAGCTGTGCAAACAAAGCCGTGTTTTCACTAACTGAACCATGCGATACGGCTCGGTATCTGAAACAGGTAGATAGTAGCGACCCCTATACTAACAGACGACAGCCAGCGCCCTCTAAGATTTCCCTGAAGCTTCGCATTACGTCCGAAAGGTGCCGCGTCGATCAGGCCCGGCACGAGCGTCGCTCCACCTCGCAAATGCATTGATGCTGACCCCCGCCTCGCCAGGGCTGCCACAGACCGCTAAGGGTCGGGTGACGGCTGGTTTATCCAAGCAGCACTCGCCGGAAGCAGCTGGTTGCGACACCAGAAATGGCAGCGCGGCGGCTGCCTCCCTCTCGATCGACAGGTGGGAGCGCGTCTCTCGCCGCCGTCCGACCGCTGAGCCCGACGCTGCTGGGCCGCGACGGACCGCGCTGCAGCTGAGGTGGGCCTCGGCTCGGCCCGTGACGAGAATGAGGCCCCGGGTGTCGCTCCCTCACCGAGCTATAGCACTGCTGAGGTCAGCTCGGTGTAAGTGTTAGCCCTTGGCTTATAGCTGCGATACTCAGTGAGCTCCTAAAAGAGCACTCGTAGCATCCAGGTGGTGATACACATTCAGTTAAAGGGGGTCCAGCCCGGCAGATCAACAACGTATGCAACATGTACCATGTGCTAGACATTTGTCACTGCTAACATTTTCCCTGGCCGTATTAGGTGCACAGGAGGTGCGCGTCAGCAGAGCCAAGTGAACATCATTGCGTGTACGGAAACATGCTGTCCCATAAAATGGGAACGCTGTTGCCATCTTTGTTGCTGTGTGTGTTTCTGCATTGTTTGATGATTTCGGTGACATAGTGACGGACTAGGCAAATATTTTGGGAAAGGCTCCTCCAAAGAAACACGGAGTGCCCCTCACGTACCTGCACAGTTTGTTGGTCGGCCTGCTTCTTTAGTGCACTAAGGTAGAAGTGCCCTTGGCCTGCAAGAGTCTCACGAGCAGGGGTTGAAATTTTTATGGTCCAGTGAGAATGATCCGTTCTTCAAAAAATGATTCCCGACATGTTTTTGCACCGTATTCATCCATTTCCGGCATCACGCATTAACAAATCAAAACTATTTGATAGTCGACTCACTCTGCCCAAATTTTATTGTTTGACTCCTTGAAGACTGCACAGTGACAGGGACATGGGTGTTCGGTTGGGATGAAGGCGCTGACACAGGTCCTTCAGCCAGCGCATCTCACGAAACACAAGAGATCGTATTGGGTTTCGCCTGGCGCTTCCTAGACGGTCAGTTTTTCCGCCAGTGACCAGCCGGCCGGCTCGTTGTTGCATAGGCCGGGGATCCAGCAGACCAGACTGTACATGACACTGACCAGCCAGAGCTGGCCCGCCTCCCACCAGGAGGGCTCGCCACTGTGCAGTAGACCGGCCGAGTGCAGCGCCGCCCCCGGCAGCCGCAGCAGCTGCACCAGCACTTCGGCCGGCCGCTGGTCGGGCGCTGCCGTCAGCCAGCAGCCGCCGATCAGCAACAGCACGGCGGCCAGCAGCAGCGACAGCCGGCGGCGCTGGAAGAAGCTCCAGCGGCTGGGGAACAGGTCGGGCTCGGCCGGACGCTTCAGGCTGCTGTTGGCGCGCGCCAGCAGCAGCGCGATGTCCTCGTCACCGTGTCCGCTGAGAGCGCGCAGATCGAGCGCGCCGCCCTCGTCACTCTTCTGCACCAGAGTCGTCAGCGACTTGGTCAGCGCCCTGAAACGAGCAGGTCACCCGTCGTGAAGGAATGGCGAGGTAAAGATGTGAGCGAACAAATGGCGTAAGTACGCATGTGATAATGTGTGCAATGTCAGACAGTTCCAGCAAACTACATATATTTTGATGAAAAGAAACGTACCTTTCCTTGGACAGCTGGTGCTTAAGGTCATCTAAAATTTGGAAAATTGACATCATGGAGTTCATGATTTTCCCCATCTTGTCAGCCCAGGCCAGCTGGTCACGAGCACTCTCCGCGTTGCAAGCAACTTGAATGCACGCAGTGAGTGTCTTGTGCATGACCTTGGACTTCCAGAACAGATCGCCGGCTGCTGCCTCCTTGCGCTTAGCATCCTGCACGGTTTGATAAGCCTAGAAAACAATTAAGAGCAAGCGTGAAATTATGGTCGTCGAGTGTCTTTGCAGTACACTACATTTTAACGTCCGCCGGGGGCGCAGCTCGCTTGATGACATTGCTTAATAGGTTCGACTGGCATAAGCAATAACCATGGGCTAAAGCACGCACTCAGCCCGGATTAGCATAATGCACTTACAAAGCCCATCAAGGAAGTCATCCTTGTAAATAAATGATTGACGTACAAAGGTGCTTAAAACTGGGAGTGAAATCACCTTAGCAACAAATAAATGCAGGCGAGCATATTAATGCATCGGTCCACACATATTATCGGACACTGGACAGTGCTAAAGAAAATGATCTTCCGTTGGAACGCGTGCCAACCAAACTGCAAAGCTACGAACTACTTACATCAAAGGCCTGCTTAGATTGCTTCATTAGTTCATCGGCCGCTTTCAGCGCGTCATCCAGAGCAGCTTGGGATTCGTCAGCCTCTTGCTGCAGCTTCTTACGTCTCCAGGGTGATACGCAATTCATCAGTTCTTTGTACATTATCTCTGTTTCGATCCCTTTTGATTCTAGTTCTTCCTTGCGCACGATCAAATTTCCGAGGGCTTCTTTAGTCTTTTCTTGTAACTCTTCATTTTCTCTATGTCCAAAGTCCGCTCGTAAATCTTTTGGGGATCGGGTGTCAATAACAGATGAGCGTGACTGACTTCGCGTTGACCTTGCATCACCTCGGAAAGACTTGTGAGAGCGAGGACGGTCGCCGCTCATTGACCTTTTGTCGGCAGATGGGATAAGATAGTCAGTGGACCGAGCCCCCGCGCTTCGTATTTGTCTTTTCATGGCGCTTTCTGTAGTGTTCTATGTAAACCATAAGCAAGTTAAAATTTTGTTTATGCTGTGACTATTGCTTACAAGTTGGTCAAATTTAAAAGGGAGAGAATAGTTACCAGAAGATTCAACCCCCAGAGTATTACTTCACCATATATGTATTTCAGGCTTGCAACATTTTTAAGCCGATATTCAGCATCGCCGCGTGAACTTAATTTGGTTTTGAGCTTCCTGTATGGAACGCTCCTAATTCATGATACAGAAATTCACTTATTGCCGCAGCCGATATTTTTGTTAAACATCTGTTGTCGGACTTTTGCAAATTTCCGTAGATTACAGACAGATGGCAAATTTCAAAATGTTGTGACATAGTTAAGGACATTTCATGTGCATCACCTGGTCAAGATAGATATCAAATAAAGGAACGTGAGGCTGTTCATGCCTCCCTAACCAATAAGGTAAACATTATCCGTTTGTCGGGCCTCCAATATACAGAGATGATGCTTTGCTCCGCCCCCCCCCCCCCCCAAATAAAGAAGGATGATGCACATTGATTGCAATACATTAGTCTTAGCCCTCTTGCCTCAGCACATGTTTCCAAATAATTTTAGCAGCATTGTTTGGGTTGCTGTATTCCTTATAATAATACTTTGGTATGTGCTGCAGTGGGACCGGACGGTGTTTGGAAGGTGATCGCATGACTGTCGCATGATTAAATCTAAATAAATATCATGCGTACACCTGACACTAAATCACGTTGAGGTAACAATGCCATGTGTTAGGTAAGCTGTGAAGATACAAAGCATGCAAACATCCAAAAGTTATATAATTGTCTCATTCGGCATCGCACAAGTTGTGTAAATAATGCACGCATGCATATGGGTTATTCAAACCGCGATAGTAACTGACTGCCTTAGGAAAACGATATGAAAAAGAAAGATCTTTTTTGTACGAGCAAAGGCTATGTAGCTCGCATGAATCACCGAAATTAACATCAAGGAGGCCCCATAGCTGAAGAAGGGAATACCAAATGAAACTGGCAAGACTCTTTGTGCATTAAGAGGCTCGTGTTATGGATCATGAGAACGTTCTTGTTGAAAAGGTAGCCGATGCTCCGGATCAGGAGGCCAAATTTTATGTTAAGGAGGCCTTTCCTGGCTTGGGGGCCACCATCATGACCTAGGAGTCCCTCTTGATAAGCTAGGAAGCCCCCGTTTCGAACTAGTAGGCTCTCGTTAAGACCTAGGAGGCCCTCGTTCTAAACTAGGAGGCCCACGTTATGAACAGTAAGGCCCCGTTATGAAAAGGGAGACACCCGTTATGATCTAGAGGGCCCCTTTATGAATAACGAGGATCTCTTTCAACTGCGAGGCCCACTTGTGTTAAAGAAGACCCCTGTTCTGAATTAGGGTAAGAGGTGTTTGTAAGTCGAGTTCCGAATCCGTCTTAGTACCGGAACATCGGAGTTCAACATCCATCACAGCAAATGACCAACACCATCTCATTCGGCGTAATAATTGGGCACCCTGGTATGCACAGTAGCACAGCTATGCATTCGCATCTGATAATGCGCCGGTTACAAAAACAGGCACAGCGCTGCCACACAACGAATGCGTCCGGTCATCCCGACTCTTTTGTGTGCGTCATCCCGTCCCTTTAATCACCAGCACCAGCTCGCTCGACGCGCGGTGCTCAGGAGCACGTGTCAGCTCCACAGGGAGCCGGCGTGCGGGGAGGGGGGGGGGGGGGGGGGGGGGGCGGCGGAGAGCACGCCATTAGCACGTGCCGGCAGCGGCCTGATTACGGCCGGGCGTCAACGTCGGACGCGTGGGGCGCGCCGTAACGGCCACAACAACACGTCAGAGGGTCGTAAACAACTTCTTCAGACGTGCCGTGCCGCTGGCCGGAGTGCGAGCCTCCGTCTCCGCCCAGGGCGGGAGCAGTGCAGCGTCTCGTCCTCAGCGAGGGCCGCTATGCGCCGGGCGGCCTGTCGCAAGGAGAGTCAACGTTCACACGGTACAGACGGCTACCACTGAGGACCAGCCGAGTAGAACTGCGGAGCGGCAGAGAAATGTTCATGTCCGGCCCACTACAGCCGCGGAGCAGCCGAACACAACTGCGACGCAGCCGAGCACAACCGCGGTGCAGCCGAGCACGAACACAACCGCGACGCAGTCAAACACACCGCGGCGCAGCCAAACGAACACAACCGCGGCGCAGCCGAACACAACCGCGGCGCAGCCGAACACAACCACGGTTTAGTCGAGCACAAACGCGGTGCTGCTGAACGCACAGAACCGCGGTCCAGCTGAGTACAGACGAGGTCCGCCCGAGTACAACGACCCAGCTGAGTACAACGGCGATCAAAACGGCCGGAACCCAAGACTCAGCCTTTGCTAGCCAGGCTTGAACTAGGCATCGCAAGGATAGCAGATGTTCGTAAATGATTCCGTGTGGTTTGGTTGTTTTGGTTGCATGGCAAACGTTATATTTGTTTTTATTTTTGTTAGTTATCGCTTATTTGTGATTATTGGCTTATCTTTTATCTCTGTCATCGTATATGTACATTATTATCATTATTTTTACCTTCACTTGTTTGTTTTCGCGCATTTGTTAATGTTCGGTCCAACCCTGCCTTGACTGCAGGGTTGCGAGGGAAATGAACAAAGGGTTCCGCATCATGTCTCAATATATTGGAAATTGCCTGGCACGAAAGACGAAAAACAATAACTATCAGTCCGAGTGTGCCAATGCATGATAGTTGTCAACAACAAGGCTGGTAAATTTCAGCACATTGAAACATTGACATTGGGTGTATTGTCAGCATTTTGAACTTGAAGTAGGCATCACTTCCGTAGTCAGATGATCGGCAATTGTCTTTTTTTGTTTTGCCTGGGTGAAAACATGGACGGTGCAGGGGCATGTATGCTTTCCAAAAGCTTGTTTATAAGGCTTCGACAAACCTGACAGTGCATGAACCCCTGCATATATCTTGCACTGGCCCGCAATTGGTGTAGGGGCTGCAAGTCCCTACACCAATTACGCATGCACACGCTACAAGATGACTCAATGATCTGGCGCCCGGACCTGTTGTTTTCCTCTGCAGCCATGTCTTTTTCTGATCGACAGCCGCAGCCTTACAGCAGATTTACCCGCACGTACCCCACTTTTGTGCATAGTATGCATGTCACGCGAGATACAACTGCTCGACCGAGCCGGGGCACGAAAGGCGCTCCAAAGATCAGTCACCCGGGGACCATGCGCTGCCGCCGATGGCATATCGGACGGCAAGAGACGGGCCTAATCACATGGTTTTCGGCACATTAATGGGCTAATGAGTCATCTCCAAATCCCGGGATAAAAACCTGGGCAAAAACAACCTCGCATCCATTGCGGGCACCTGGCTGGCCATATGCGCTGTCCACGTTCTGGTCCAATTACAAGTCTGGCCGCTGCCGCTGACCGGAGCAGCTGCAGCGCGGCTGACTCAGCGGTGGTACTGGGCGGGCCGCGCCAGCGGCGGCCGCACGCCAGCCGCGCGGAGCTCGTGCCGGCGTCGCGCGCCGCCGCTGGGTGTGGTCATCGCGGGTCCTCTGTCACGCTGCACCAGTCGTCGGCGAGCCATGCCTGTCATCAGCAGCCGGAAACCATCAAACGAGCAGGCGGTACTCCTTCGGATGCTGCATTACAAGTTCAAGGATATTTTGAAGACTGTCGTGACTTTGCCGTGATGAAAGCACGGCACTCTTCAAGAGTGCCGTGCCTTAACCGTGCACGGATGGTTACTCGTGTCTAAAAAAGCCCATCGAAAAGGAGGTAAGAAATCGAGAAATAATTTCAAAGGTTAGAGATATGGTACGTATCGTATTCTTTGCATCGGCCAGGCACTGCAACTGTGTGTGCTGATATTCGTGGAACAGCTTTGTGCTCAGAACCGGACGGCGCGGGTTCGGTGGGTGATAATCCCTCGATTTGTATAAGCCTGTCTTTCATGGAATATCAAGGAACTTGAGAAGATGGCTAGAACTTATCAAGCCCTTGAGTTGTCAGACATTGTAAAGAACGGGAAACGAGTTTTACAGCCCCCAAGCACGAACGCTTCCTGAATGTCCCCGGCAAGACGTTCAAACGCTCTTTTTTTGCAGCCAGCCGCCGTTCGAGGCCATATACGACATTACGACATCTGTGTAGCACGTGTATTACGAGGATCCAGGCAAACTGCCGACAGTAAAGAGGCCATGATAATCCACAAAAGACCTCCATCCAACATTGGGATTTCAGCCACGTTTTAGTTTTCTTTCTTGTGCTAACCATCTGGTACGAGGTCGCAGCAGAGATCAATTTGTATGAGCAATTTTACCCACTCAGCACGCGGCTTTACGACTCGCCCTCTAATTTTCTCTCTGCTGATCTCTGGAACTGGCACGACACGGGATCCTTGTCGGTGTCGACACCAGGGCAAAAAAAAAAGTTGACAGATGGCGAGCCATATTCCACAGTGAATACGGATCCATGGCTTACCACAAATGCAGCAACCGGCAGAGTTTTATCAGTGATGGACGTATTGCCACTCACTTCACTGGATCTGTATTTGCATTTATATCTCACCACTCGACACATCCACAACAACCCGTGCTTATTTTTGTGTCGGTCGCTGTGAGCATAATCAATTGGGGCAACGTGGGGTGACGGTGAGGATGAGGGTCGGAGTATAAGGTCATTAGAGTAGAATAGTGCATGGGATATGAAAAAAGGATGGAGGACGATATAGCATGGGACACGCAGGGATGAAAAAGGTTCTGATTTAGCGGATATGATCAGTGACATAAGCTGATACTTTTTCGAGCCAACTGGTGACAAAATTGCGAGAATGAAAACAACCTTCAACAGACCAGGCCATATTACAGCAGGCTTTTCCAGCTAGACGAAACTCAAAGCCTTGTATTGGCCTGTACTCGCCAACGCTTGCAGCGTGAGCGTGTGTAGAGCACATGTCGGAACCTTGACGGCTCGCTGTATGAGCAAGTTGGGCCATAAGATGCTGCCAAACAAAGTATTTTGAATCAGGATAGTTTTTAGCGGGTGACAGCATTATACTACTAATCATACTATATCGGTGCTGACATCACAGATCAGTGGTGACAC